TTAACAGTAACTCCAAGGATTCTTGTAGAAGAATTTTACAAGATGCCATAATCATGGCCACGAGGCTCGTGACTGCGTCTGGGTTCACAGACAATGCTGAAGGGACATCAGGAGCTGCTCCAACTCCAGTAGCCTTGATCATTGATGGTACTAGCCTTGTTTATATCCTCGACAGTGAACTTGAAGAACAGGTAATTTCTTCTTGACCTAGTTTTCTTAGCTAAGCCTTGAATGATCTCTTATATTCTAATCCATGTTATTTGGATAAATTGCAGCTCTTTGAGTTGGCCAGTAAATGTTCCGTAGTGCTATGTTGCCGAGTGGCTCCATTACAAAAAGCTGGAATTGTTGCCCTTGTAAAGAGCCGGACTTCTGACATGACACTGGCCATTGGGGATGGTAATTTTCATACATGAGATACTATACCACTTTCTTTTGCTCCCAAAATCCTAAAGATATTTATTTGCTCTCTCTCTCTCTCTCTCTTGTTGGAATTTTAAGCTGATGTTTTAGGGATTTTTGCTGGATTATGAACAGGTGCTAATGACGTGTCAATGATCCAAATGGCTGATGTTGGAGTTGGCATAAGTGGCCAAGAGGGTCGGCAAGCGGTAATGGCATCTGATTTTGCAATGGGGCAGTTCAGATTTTTGGTTCCCCTTTTATTTGTCCATGGACATTGGAATTACCAGCGCATGGGTTACATGATTATTTACAATTTTTACAGAAATGCAGTGTTTGTTCTTGTTTTGTTTTGGTAAGTTATTATTATTATTATATTTTTCCTTTCTTTCTTTCCTTCTTCACAATACTTGGATTTGGTTTCTCTTTGAGGTCAAACATTTTCTGAAATCAACGTGCATGTTTTCGTAAAATATCAAATTGCATTAGTCATTTACTTTGGTTTTTGATTAATGGGTAAAGAGATGAGAAAAAGGATTAAATTTGGTCTGATTTTGATATCTTTCTTATTATCTTATACATCATGAACATTGTGTAGGTATGTGCTTTTCACATGTTTTACTTTGACGACTGCAATCAACGAATGGAGCAGCGTATTGTATTCCATCATCTATTCTGCCTTGCCTACTATTGTCGTCGGAATTCTTGACAAGGACTTAAGTAGAAGAACTCTTTTAAAAGATCCTCAGCTTTATGGTGCTGGTCAAAGACAAGAATGCTACAACTCGAAGTTATTTTGGCTTACAATGATGGACACGTTGTGGCAAAGTATCGTTATCTTCTTTGTCCCTCTTTTTGCATATTGGGAAAGCACAATTGATGCATCGAGTATAGGGGATCTTTGGACAATTGCAGTGGTTATTTTGGTTAATTTACACTTGGCCATGGATGTTATCGATTGGACTTGGATTACTCATTCAGCCATTTGGGGATCGATATTTGCTACCTGGATTTGCGTCATTGTCATTGATGCTGTACCATCACTAGTTGGCTACTGGTACGCCCTCTTTTCTAATCATCTTAGATCTGTATATACATATTTTATATATATATATATTTTTTTTCTTTTTCCTGCACGAGTTATACCATTTCTTCTCTCAGTAGTAAAATGGTCCGTACACATATCTGAAGTGATATAATAAGAACATTGTATACATATCTCGTGTATAAGCACTGACATTTGCAGCTCCAATGTTATTTGACAGGGCGATCTTCGAAATTGCAAAGACATGGCTGTTTTGGTTATGTTTACTTGGAATCATTGTTGCAGCGCTCCTCCCCCGTTTTGTTGTAAAATTTATTTATCAGTACTATAGTCCTTCTGATGTTCAGATTGCCAGAGAAATTGAGAAGTTTGGCAATCCAAGAGGGTTAGGAGCTGTACAACTCGAAATGAATCCAATCCTGGATCATCCTCGGAGATGACAAGGTGATTTTTATTTTGTTTTAAATGCCTTTTTTTTGTTTCATTTTATTTATACAGAGTGCTTGATTCTTTGGGCCACTTTAGGGTAACCTCTCTTGGTCGCCGGATTTTCGTTATTTGTTATCCAAAGGATAGAGTTAGCTATGCTAGGTTTATACTTAGGCTTTTGTTGTATTTTGCATAATCATTTGTTGTAAATTAGATGTTCCCGTGTGTACAATGACAATGTAAATGAGTTTAAAGAAGGATAATAATACATGATTCTTTTTTTCTCTTTTTGTCGGGTCTCCCTTGTAATCTTTTTGATGTTTTGATTTCATCTCTTATTTCTCTCTTTGCATAGTCAAGTGATGAGTTGGGTTTTTGGTGTCGTAAATATCATGCTTAAGTCCAACTGTCCAACCGATTTCCCCCCCTTTTTTTTTTATGGTTTTTTCTTACTCCCGTCACATCATTTATGCAACACTAGGTTTTAATATTGATGTGATGCAATCCTCGTGATGTTTATTTCTGTTCATAAAATTTTCTTCTCTTGCTATTTTCATTAATGGGTTTTCTTTGACAAGATTTGTTCTTTTTTTTTTTTTTTTGGTTGCCTTTGTGTTCATATACGTTTGTGTTAGTGTTTTGTATCTATATATATATATCAAGAGTAATGTTAGTGATATTAACTTAAATCCTAACTCTTATTTATGTGGTATGTGAATTGTCATTTTTTTTATTAACAGATGTAATTTCTTATAATGTTTTAAATACTCATTAATATAAAGATGACAACTTATGCGTCACATTAATTGATACAAAAAATTGAGATTTAAATTAGTATCTTTAACATTATTTATATATTAATTTTACTGTAATTGGTTAAAAACGATGCATTGCCAGTTGAGATAACCCACCTAAAAAGCAAAAAGCTCCTACTATCATTAAACTAAAAGTTTCATGTCAAGTGCAAAAAAGGAAAAAAAAGAAGGAAAAAAAAAAGAAACAAAATGTTTCAGACGCAACATTACAACAACACGAAAACTGAGATGTAAGAGATCATCATAACCACCCATTTTTAGCATATTGTCAGGGGACTTTATACATAAGATTGATGGAGTCTCAGCTTTCACGTACAGAGGCCAGTTTCATCGGTATGCTTCTCATTTTTGTTTTTTGTTTTGTTATTTTGTCAAAAAGGACTTCATCAATAAATTCCCAATTTGTTTTCTTCTTCTCCTTTTGATTTTGTCTTGTTCTTTTGTTGCCAAGACACTCGTGCATTGGCAGTATTGTATTGCTCTGCTTTTTGTTTTCTTTACAATAGAAAAAAAGGACTTAGGGTATAATAGTTGTCAATGATATGTCAGAGTAGAGTTGATCTTAGTCCTCATATTGTAAGGTGAGATTCTATCTTGGTCCTGTTTATTTTCTATATTCGTTCTTAATTTTAAATCATAATTCATGATTTTTTATAGTATTTTTTTCTTATAAAAAACATACGTAAAATGAAAATAATTTTAAATTCATGAACTAAATGTCTACTAACTTTTAAAACACCTGATCTGTTTTCAGACTAGAAAATTGTCCTAATAACCTTATTTTTTCAAATGACAATATAAACCTTTTAGTGGAAGGTTTTCGCATGGTAGGCAAAGGCCCTTAACAATTTCGGTTTGATATTAGGATTAAAGGGCATTGGTCACCTATTATTGCTTCTTGGCAACTATGGCATTCAAGGATGAATGAAAAAAATATGGACTTAATCAAATTAGGGCAAGATATGAAAGAATTTTTGAGTTGTTCCATGAAATTGGTTAGTAATGGATTCAGAGTTGGACCGACTACCAAATTGCATGGGTCCTTCCTACCAATTTGTCTCATGGTTGAAGTGACTTATTATGTGCTTAGTGGTAGAATATTGTGGTCTGCTAATAGGCCTTTTATTTATTTATTTTTTAATATTTGTAGTGGCTGGGTCAAAATTAGGGGTGGTAATTTGTGTTTGTGAGTCGTGTTAATTTTTTTATTAATCGTGTCAAAAAATATCAAACCAAACACGACATGTTTATTAATCGTGTTAATCTTGTCAACCTGTATAACCTGTTTAAATCAATATATTTAATAAATAACTAATATAATAATGATTTATTTAACACAACCACGAGAGGTTTAACATGTTTATTGGTCAAATTATCTTTTTTTAAAGAAAAATAAATGAATTTTACCTACAAATATTAAAATTCATATTATTTGTATTTAATATGTCATATAAATTTTCATATTATATCACATATCATTAGATTGCATATGACACATATAGTTAATCGTATCAATTCGCGTTAAGAGATCAACCATAACCTAATCAATTTATTAATTGTGTCAATCCGATTATGATCCAAACCTATTTATAACAAACTCAAACCCGTTAATTTCGTGTGGATTTTGAGTCGCGTTTTGTGTCAAGACACCAAGTTGGTACCCCTAGTGAAAATACTATATTTATATATGGTTGTCATGTGAAATGAAATACAAAACTTACGTTTTTTTTTTATTTTTTATTTATTTTCAAAAATTGTGAGAATAATTTAAATTTGACCCTCAAAAAATATGTTATTTCACTTTACTCCTTATAATTCAAAACGATGCACAACTATCCCATCAATTTATTACAAGTTACAATATTCGTCCTTTCATGACTGTCAATTGACCAATTTTAATCTTTACCAAGCAGTCAACTAAACCACACACATAGCTAAAAAAGTTAACCACTCAATGAAAGTTGCATAAATTAGAGAAGGGTTGTTCTTTTGGAGTGTAATTTGAGTATAGTTTTTGAGTTGAATTTAAGTTATAATTTGAGTTGAAGTTAGAACTTGAATAAAGTTGAGTAAAATTGAATAAAGTTGAAACTTAAAAGAACGTGAACTTGAATAAAATTAAAACTTAAGTTGTTTTTTTTTGAGTTTTTTAGACAAAAAAACATGCCTAGAATGTTTTGACTCTTTAGTGTGTTAAATTTAAAATTAACCCAAAACTGTTTAGTAGAACTAACTACGCCAAAAGTGTGATTAAAAAGAAATGAGAAAAAAAAGAAAGAAAAAAGAAATGAGAAAAAAAAGAAGGAAAAAAGAAGGAAAAAAGAAATGAGAAAAAAAGAGAAAAAAAAGAAAAATGCTTTTAGAGAGAGAATTGGGGTGTGTGTGGAAGTGGAAGCACTTTCTCTCGCGTTTGTTGGGATTCTTCTGAAGTAAAGGGCCATTTTCCCATCCAAATTTCCCCTTACAATTCGCCCTCTAAAACACAACACGCTTCATTTTCTTTTCTTTTCTTGTCCTTTTTTTCATTTTGCCCAAAACAGAAACAACAAGCACTTTCTTTCTCCACCATTGCCCATAAGCTCTCTCTCTCCTCCTCCTCTTTCTCTCTCTCTCTAAAATGCCGCGGTGCGAAAGCGACTAGCTTCCAGCTCAAAACCCCAAGGGGGAAAAAGAAATACAGTAATCTGATTTCTTGTTCGTTCTTGTTGTTATTACTGTTATTTTGGTTTTAAGATTTCCACATTTGTAGCTGAGTTGCGAAGAATCTTGTTCTTGTTCTTGTCGTGAATTTTCTGGGATTTTGATCGGGTTGGGGAATTTATATGCATTTTGTCGATTATCGGTTTGGTTGTGCTCGCGAGGCCTCTGATCTTCAGATCATGGCCTCAATTTGTCCCCTTTTGATCTCTTCCCCGAGAAGCCCCAATTCCTGAAACTTTGTTTAAGGAAAAGGGGAAAAAAAACCTAATCTTGGAGTCGATCGGAATCGTTTCTCCGGGGATGGACTCCAAAAGACCGGCAGAGAATTCCCTGAACATCGAATCTGGTTTTGCCTCCACCACAAGAAGAGGCATTGCAGCGAATTCCGTTCGAGAAGTGAATTTCGGCGATCAGCATCATCATCATCATCATCGTGGCGTGAGCACGAAGCATGTGAGGTACGGGTCGAGAGCGACGGATTCGGAAGTGTTTAGTGTGTCGCAGAGGGAGATCAATGATGAGGACGCGAGGTTGGTATATATAAATGATCCTGGAAAGACCAATGAGAGGTTTGAATTCGCTGGGAATTCGGTAAGGACAGGGAAATACTCAATTCTAACATTTTTGCCAAGAAATTTGTTTGAGCAGTTTCATAGGGTCGCATACATTTATTTCCTTGTGATAGCCGTTCTTAATCAGCTGCCCCAGCTGGTTGTTTTTGGCCGGGGAGCTTCGATTTTGCCGTTGGCATTTGTGTTGCTAGTTACTACAGTTAAGGATGCATATGAAGACTATAGGCGGCATCGGTCTGACCGGATTGAGAACAATAGGTTGGCTTTAGTTTTGGTTAATAATCAGTTCCACTCAAAAAGATGGAAGGATATCCAAGTTGGAGAAATCATCAAGCTTCAGGCAAATGAGACTATTCCTTGTGATATGGTGGTGCTCTCAACTAGTGACCCAACTGGTGTTGCGTATGTGCAGACGATCAATTTGGATGGGGAATCGAATTTGAAGACCCGTTATGCAAAACAAGAAACACTCTCCAAGTTCCCTGAAAAGGATATGATTTGTGGTTTGATTAGGTGCGAGAAACCCAATCGAAATATTTATGGGTTCCAGGCAAATATGGAAATTGATGGGAAAAAACTGTCTCTAGGACCCTCAAATGTTCTTCTTCGAGGATGTGAGCTCAAAAACACTGGTTGGGCAATTGGGGTTGCAGTGTATGCTGGTCGAGAGACAAAGGCTATGCTCAACAGCTCTGGAGCCTCGTGTAAGAGGAGCCGGCTTGAGTCCCGTATGAACTTTGAGATCATTGTTCTATCAGTGTTTCTTATTGCTCTGTGTACAGTTGTCTCTGTATGTGCCGCTGTTTGGTTGAGGCGCCACAGGCATGAGTTGGATTTCTTGCCTTTCTACAGGAGGAAGAACTACTCTAAGGGGAAAGTCGAAAATTACAATTATTATGGTTGGGGAATGGAGATTTTCTTCACTTTCCTCATGTCTGTTATTGTTTTCCAGATTATGATCCCCATTTCTCTGTACATTTCTATGGAGCTTGTCCGGGTTGGTCAGGCATATTTCATGATCCGGGACACACAGCTGTATGATGAGACCTCAAATTCAAGATTTCAGTGCAGAGCTTTAAATATTAATGAGGATTTGGGACAGATAAAGTATGTGTTCTCTGATAAGACTGGCACGCTTACGGAGAACAAGATGGAATTTCAATGTGCAAGCATTGGGGGCGTGGATTATAGTGGCCGAAAAGGCATTTCAGAAGAGGAGCATGCAGGATACTCAGTGCGAGGTAGAACGATTTTGCTTTTAAAATTTTATTCATTAAAGCTGACGTATATGATGATCTTTTTTTTAGCATATACTGTTGTTATCGTTATAATTATTGATACTTATTTGTTGTGTTTTTTGACTTCTCTACATGTCTAGTTGATGCATTCTTATATTTCTTCAATGTCTTGTACCAGTTGATGGGATTATTTTTAGACCAAAGATGAAGGTGAATGTTGACCCAGAGCTTCAACAACTAGCACAGAGCAGAAAGAATACAATCAAATGCAAACAAGTTCATGATTTCTTTCTTGCATTAGCAGCTTGCAATGCAATTGTTCCTCTTGTTATAGATACATCTGACCCTACAACGAAGTTGATAGATTACCAAGGAGAGTCACCTGATGAACAAGCATTGGTTTATGCTGCTGCAACCTATGGCTTTATGCTTATTGAAAGAACCTCAGGCCACATAGTTATTGATATTCAAGGACAAAGGCAAAGGTAATTTGAAGTGTTGTTATCTTTATCACCCTCATTCCGGTTGATTTTAAAATAAAATTTCCCCTGGTAGTTTCGTTTCTTCAACATTCTTATTGTACCACTGGAGAATAAGTTACTGGAGATTAGATTGCAGAAATGTTATTAATGCTCTAATTTTACTTTTCCGTACAAGAAGGCACTGTCTCAAAAGATTAACTGGAAAAGAAGTTCACTTGAGGTTCTCTTAACTCTATGAAGTATTTTGTTGTTTCCTGTGTGGAGAAATAGTTGAAACCAATTTGCTTTTGTGGGTGAAAAAAGAGAGTTTCTTGCATTTTCTTAAATCTTGTTTGTGGATTATTGGTATCTTTTTTGTGCATTTCATCTCAAAATTGACATTAACAAAGGATATAATAATGGGAGTAACAGTTACAATCGCCCGAAGACCAAACTTTTCAATGTCTCAACGATATTGCATCCCTTATAGTTGATTGGATTTTCCATTAGAATATTTTAAAATACAGAATCTTATTCAAGAAATGCAGCCCATGTTATTTCACTTTCACGAGCTTCTCGATTTTGGGCCCTGCAGGTTCAATGTTTTGGGTTTGCATGAATTTGATAGTGATCGTAAAAGAATGTCTGTCATACTTGGGTGCCCAGACAAGACTGTTAAAGTTTTTGTAAAAGGTGCTGATACCACAATGTTGAGTGTGATTGATGAATCTGTAAACCAAAACACATTGCACGCAACTGAAGTTCATCTGCATGCTTATTCCTCAATGGGTCTAAGAACCCTTGTTGTTGGGATGCGGGAACTGAATCCTTCTGAATTTGAGCAATGGCACACTTCCTTTGAGGCAGCGAGCACAGCTTTGATTGGTCGGGCTGCTCTCCTTCGTAAGGTTGCTGGCAACATAGAAAGCAATCTTATCATACTTGGTGCATCTGGAATTGAAGATAAACTGCAACAAGGGGTGCCAGAAGCCATCGAATCTCTCAGAACTGCTGGGATTAAAGTTTGGGTTTTGACAGGGGACAAGCAAGAAACTGCCATATCTATTGGGTACTCTTCAAAGCTCTTGACTTCTACGACGAGACAGATAATAATTAACAGCAACTCCAAGGAGTCTTGCAGAAGGTGTTTACAACAGGCCACAGCCACGGCTAAGAAGCTTGTGACTGTGTCTGGGGTCACATGTGATACTGAAGGAACATCAGTAGCTGCTTTAACTCCTGCAGCCTTGATAGTTGATGGTACTAGCCTTGTTTATATTCTTGATAGTGAACTTGAAGAGCAGGTAATTGCTTCTGAACATAGTTTAAATTGCAAAGTCTGGCTGATATGTATGCTGATCAAACTTGTTCTGTATTTCAGTTGTTCAAGTTGGCAAGTAAATGTTCTGTAGTGCTGTGTTGCCGTGTGGCGCCCTTGCAAAAAGCTGGAATTGTTGACCTTGTGAAGAGTAGAACAACTGACATGACACTGGCCATTGGGGATGGTAATTTCTTGAATACGATATACTGAAATAATATCTTATACTTCTAAAGGATTAGAGATACATATTACCTTATTTTCTTGTTGGTGTTGCAAGCTGTTCAAAAATCTGATGGATGATCAACAGGTGCTAACGACGTGTCAATGATCCAAATGGCTGATGTTGGAGTTGGCATAAGTGGCCAAGAGGGCCGGCAAGCTGTCATGGCTTCAGATTTTGCAATGGGGCAGTTCAGATTCTTGGTTCCCCTTTTATTGGTTCATGGACATTGGAATTACCAGCGAATGGGCTACGCAATCTTATATAATTTTTACAGGAATGCAGTATTTGTTTTTGTTTTATTTTGGTGAGTGTTCTGTTGTCCTTATAACCATACGTTCATATTGCATCACTATTTTGGCTGCTAATCTATTTTTAATTAGGTTTTGTTTTGAAAGCTAGATAAAAATTGGGTGAATCTAGTTGCATTTATTTTCATTTTTAGGTTAATGCCGTTATAAAATCAAATGCATGTTATGTCATGCATGGACGATAGTTTATTTATTTATTTATTTGTTTATTTATGATTTATTTGTTTATTTTTGGTAGAAACAAATAATTGCAGTCACTCAAGCAGAATGGTTTTGGTTTCACAAATAACAGGCCAAAAAAAAGAAAAAAGAAAATAGAAAAAGAGTGTAATTTCTTGCTTATTATCTTATACATCTTGCATTCTTTGTAGGTACGTCCTCTTTACATGTTTTAGTTTGACAACTGCGATCACTGAGTGGAGCAGCGTGTTGTACTCAGTACTTTATACTTCTCTACCTACAATTGTTGTCGGTATTCTTGACAAGGACCTAGGTAGAAGAACTCTTCTAAAGTATCCACAGCTTTATGGTGCTGGTCACAGACAAGAATGCTACAACTCAAAATTGTTTTGGCTTGGAATGATGGACACAGTTTGGCAAAGTCTTGCTGCCTTCTTTATTCCTGTTTTTGCATATTGGGGAAGCACAGTTGACTCATCAAGTATAGGAGATCTCTGGACAATTGCAGTGGTTATTTTGGTTAATTTACATTTGGCTATGGATGTCATCCGGTGGACTTGGACCACTCATGCAGCCATATGGGGATCTATAGTCGCAACCTTTATCTGTGTCTCTGTCATTGACGCTTTTCCATCACTAGTTGGTTACTGGTACGCCCTCCTTTCTAATCATTGTAGATATTTATACAAATATTATACATTTATATATATAGATATATATGTATATATATATTTTCCTGCACAAATTATATCCTTCCTTCTCTCATTTGACTTTATACTATTGCATACTAGAGGACAGGGTATGGACTTATTTCATGAAATGATATTTTTCCTTTCCATCCTTTAGCTCATTCAATGGTAAATTACACGTAGGCTTTATAGTAGTGAGAAATTAGTTTACGAGCCAAAAACTTGATACCCCTGTGACAGCTCTTGCTGGATATGGTCTTGGTAAAGAAAGTTACTTTTATGAGTTTCTGATGGAACCCCGTTACTATTTTGAAAAAGACAATATAGTGGTCCAAGATTTCAAGATTCCCAAGACCTTCAACATTTTGAGTATATTTTTCTGAAGTACTTACAATTTCCGAACTGGAATTTAAAAGTGTAATTTATGCAGCGAAGCATTAATATTAGATGCTTACTTTGGTCAATCTAGGAGAATTCTTTGTGTTGGTTCTAATCAAGTTTGCTCTAGAATCTTTTTCATTTCTCGTTTTCCTTCATTACTAAACAGTTGCGTTGTCCTTATGAAATGATCTATATGTGCATATGAACTGAAATATAGTGAGATTCGGGAACATTGTATTGGCCTTGTGTATACTCACTGACGCCACTGACATTTGTAACTCCAATGTTATTTGACAGGGCGATCTTTCATGTTGCTAAGACTGGGTTGTTTTGGTTATGTTTGCTTGGAATCGTCGTAGTAGCACTTCTTCCTCGTTTTGTTGTAAAATTTCTTTATCAGTATTATAGTCCTTGTGACGTTCAGATTGCTAGAGAGGCTGAGAAGTTTGGCAATCTAAGAGAGTTAGGAGCTATACAAAAAGAAATGGATCCTGTTTTGGACCGTCCACAGAGATGACAAGGTGATTTTGTTCCTTGTTGCAAATTGTTATTATTATTATTATTTTCTTTTTGCCTCGTTCTATATATAGTGTTTTATTCTTTGGGCTGCTGAGTGCCTCTCTTGTTGCCAATTTTCAATTATTTTGCTATCCGAAGGATAGAGTTCGTGATAGTAGGCTTGTACTTAACTCTTGTTGTATTATCCGTAAATCATTTGATGTAAAATAGTTTTAGATGGCTCCCATTCTGTTAAAATTAAAAAAAAAAGAAAAAGAAAAAGGAATGGTCTTACTCTATTTCCATCTAGATACTCTTTTGGCGTTGCATATAATGAATGCTTTTCCCACCTCTTTCTTTTATTTTTATTTTTAGCTGAATTCATAATGGAAAGCCCTGTGATCTCGTTGTGAGACCCTATATCGTTCTCTAGGGACCCATGCGGTGTGGATCCTGAAAACCCACACCGGAAAGCATTAATATGTATTGAATGGTCGATGCTAGATAATGCCCTACACCAGTGATTCTGTCCACTCAATTCGTTACACTTTGTTTACATGGTAGTTTTGATGCAGTGTCACGTGTTGTATTTTATACCACAGAGAGAGAAAATGGCATGTTCACTTTTTGAGCTTGTTTGATAGGAATGAAAAATGGAAAGATGGGTGAGGGAATTCCTATCCATGGTCATTTTGTAGGAGAGAAAGGAGGGATGGGTGAGGGATTTCAGAGCCTCGTTCATTTCACCGATTTGAGTTTAGAATTCGAGTTTTGCTACAGTAAAAAGTTCTCAGAAACAGTCACATTTAACTTTTTTACTATAGTAAAAAGTTTTTACATAAAGTCATATCTCAACTCAAATTAAAAACTCAAATCAACGAATTAAACGGGTATTTAAATTCTTCGAGGTACTCTAAAATTTGATTACTTAAAATATGAAGATTTTAGAAGAGGGAATCCATACCAAAAAAGTTTCACTCTTTCCTCTGTCATTCTTTTCGTATTTTTTCCTCCCTCTTACAAAATGTAGAATTAGAGTCCGTTTGTTTCATGTATTCATCTATGATTTTGAATCATGATTCATGATTTTCTACAGTGTTTTTCTCTCACAAAAAACACACGTAAAATGAGAATAATTCTGAATCATGGTTCTGAATACATGAACCAAACGTCCACTTAGTGGTTTCTGTCATTTGCAAGCTGGTGGACTTGCAGGGTAGATTTCATAGTGGTTGCTACATCCCTCTCTCTCTCTCTCAACTTGCGTTTGTGGATTCGGTTGTACTTTATTTGACTCATTCTAAATTATTTCTAGTAGATTATACTGCATAATCATAGTATAACACAATGAGTACGTTTGGAACTCATTTTAAAATAATTTTTTATTTTTTGTATGAAAATAAAAATGAAAACGTTTTCAATCTCATACAGAAATTATTTTTAAAAATGCGTTTGATAATTTTATCAATAGATTATTTTCAGTATAAAAAAATCTATTAATATCTCTCTCTGTGTGCTCAAGAGAGGAGAAAACAGAAATAAAAAAGAAATAAAAAATAAAAAATGATTAAAAGTCATTTTTCATTTATCTCATTTTATATTAAATTAAAAAATTATTTTAATTTCTGTTTTTTGTCTTTAATTGTGCCAAACGTCGTTTTTTTTTCCGTTTTCAATTTTTTTTTTCAAAAAATGTAAAAAATAAAAATAAAAAAAAACTCCAAACACAACCATATAATCGCATGTGAATATGAGTCTTGGCGCTATAGGATGAAACGACAGAGGAATATGCTGAGTTAGCTGAGCCTTTATAAGATTGAAGGAAGAATAGATTTTGAATGCCATGCTTGTCATAAATGGGTGTATTTTGCACCGTAACGAGTTTGAAATTGAAACTATATGCCTAGTTTGTCGTGTATCAAAACAGAAGGGGAAAAATTCTAAAGAGACGATGTGAGTTTTTGCAATAGTAAATCTGTAATCGCTTTTTTTGTTCGTTTGTTTCGAAGTTCAAAGAAAGAAAAAAAAAAAAAAAAAACTAGAAGATGGTAAATTTGGGCATCTCATTGGAGTTACCGGCCGACATGGAATGGTTGGAAATGATTGGAGTGTGGAGAAGAGTCGAGAAGTCTTTGTTTAGGCTCTCATTCTTGTTATTTATACGTTTGGCATTGTCATATGCCAAGGAAAAAAAAATCTATATATACTATAATATTTCTTTATTTGTGGGTATTATTGTGATTAATTTAACGGTTATAATAAATTAGATATTTAATTAAAAAATAAAATAATTATTGAAATTGAATTCTTATCATTATCGGTAGAGACGTAATTATTAAAAATTTATTCACACATATAAGAAAAACAAATGGGGATGTATCATTTAGGCCTCGTTCGTTTCACTGATTCGAGTTGAGATGTGATTTTAAATGAGAGTTTTTTACTGTAGTAAAAAAATTAGATGTGACTGTTTGTGAGAGATTTTTATTGTAGTAAAACTCAAATTCTAAATTTAAATCAGTAAAACGAACGAAACTTAGATTATAAATTAAATATTACTTATAAGTAATACCAATCAAACAGATTAAAAAGATATAATATTTTATCATGAAATATTCATTTTGACAAGAAATTATCTATATAATAAGCCCCTCGTTTACACGCGCTAATATTTTTGAGAGGAGTCCTATAATCAAAAGATTTGATTTCATTGAACAATTAATGTCTTACTTTATGCTTTTTGGGAAAAAGAGATGATAATAATAGCCTGACACTGGTTTGGTCAAATTTGGGTGCCTGAGCGCCAGAACCCATAATTAATTTGAGACATTCATAAGGTGAATATTGAGAATGTTAAAATGACATTAATATAGAGTCGTTTATTTTCCACGTCTTGTTGGAATATGTTAAAATGACATTATTTAGCAAAACAAATTAAATTCGTTAGGAACAAATATCTCCCAAGACGTGGCATATATAACCATTAACATGATAAGAGCCAAGAAAAATGACAGTAAATTTAACAAAATAAATTAAGATATCATTTATTTTGTGAATTTGAGTTTTTTATTCAAATTAAGATGTGACATTTTCTGAAAACTTTTTACTGTAGTAAAAAAAATTAGATGTTACATTTTTTAAGAGCTTTTTACTGTAGAAACTTAAAACTGAAAACTCAAATCGGTAAAATAAACGATGCCTAAATTCGTTAGGAACAAATATCTCCTACAGACGTGGCATAAATAACCATTAAGAGCCCATTTAGTTCGTTGATTCAAGTTTTTAATTCGAATTGAGATGTAACTTTATGTGAGAATTTTTTATTGTAATAAAAAAAGGTTAAATGTAACTGTTTCTGATAGTTTTTTATTATAACAAAATTATAATTTTAAACTTAAATCGATAAAATAAATGAGACCTAAGATGATAAGAACCAAGAAAAATGACAGTAAATTTAACAAAACAAATTAAATTCTTTAAGAATAATATATAATCATAAAATTATGTTCATTTTATCGATTTGAGTTTTATTATAATATAAAATTTTAAAAAATAATTACATTTAATTTTTTTATTATAATAAAAAATTTTCACATAAAATTATATTTTATTTTAAATTAAAAATTTAAATTAGTGAATTAAATATACCATGAACAAAAGCCTCTGAATGGTTGGTCAATGCATTTGTTTAATGGATTTCAAAACTTTAATAGCATTGATTGATGGGTTCAGAAATTGTTGGCGTATCCAGTGAACATTGGCCAACAGCCTGGCCAACTGCTCACAACATGGTCATTAATTGACACGAATCAAATTGTCAAAAGATGAGTGTTTATTTCGTTCATTTAAATTTAAAATTTAAGTTTTATTACAATAAAATTTTTTTATAAATAATTATATTTAATTTTTTTATTATAGTAAAAAATTTTCATATAAAATTATTTATGAACTCAAATTAAAAATTTAAATCAACGAACTAAACGAATCATCATGTGTCAAAAACGGAGTTACGTACCCTACTGTTTGAAGTGCCAACTCAGACACACTTTTTTAGTTTTACCCCCCAAGTCAATAATTCAGATATAAGTGCATGGTTGGCTCGCGACTCATTAAGGATGGATAAGCTAAGGGCGTTTGAGAACATATAAATTTGTTAACGGAAATTTTTTATTCAAATTTTTTTAAGAAAAAAATATTGTAATAAAATTATGGTTTGAGTTTTGAGTATACGTTACAAACAACTTCTAATTTCCTTAAGAGTCAAAAAATCCTTAAAAAGATTGTTTAGTTGGAGAGTTTAAGAGGTTTGTATTCATATTGATGTTCAAGTCAGTGTACACTTAAACCTTCAAAATAAAAAGATTTCTAAACCCAAATTTCTCTTGGGTTCTCAGTTTAAAACCTATATGGTTTAAACCAATGGTTCAAACCCACCATGATTTAAACTATTCAGAAAATTAAATAGTTTTATTATTATTATTATTATTATTATTATTATTATTATTATTATTATCATCATCATCATCATCATCATCATCATCATCATCACCACCACCACCACGAAACATATTTAGCTGTCTCTTGTGTAGTCTTAAGTATAACCACCAACAAAAGTACAAAGAAGTAACACTAAGAGTATGTTTGGTAGGAAAGAAAAGTAGAAGGAAGGAAGAAGGTGGAGAGATTTTAGGAGAGAAAATGAAAATGTAAGTTATTTGGTAGGAGAGAAAAGAGAAAGGAAGAGAAAATAGAGTGAAAAATAATACATGTGGGCCCCACCATTTTTTTCTTTTTACAAGTGGGCAAAAAATGAGATAGAAAATGGAGACAACTCATTAAAGTGAGCAAAGTTACTAAATTACCATTTTCTCCAGCAACATCCAAGTAAAAAATTTAAGGATATAAAAGTAATTTATGAGTAAGATTTTTTCTTTACTCCTAATTTAACTTTCCAATACCAAACAAGTGAAAGTAAACTCATTTTCTTTCTATCTTCTCATACTAAATAACATAAAAGAAAATCAATTTCCTTTCCATCATTACTATTTTTCATCACTTTCATATTTCATTTCTATCATATTTTTTTTCTTTCCTACCAAACAAAGCATAATATCCAAGCATTCTTAGAACGTACAATTATAAAATGTTGGGATTTGATTGTCAACTTTATTTTGATTTTTGGATTTGTTGAAATTATGTGATTGACATTATTTTGGGTGTGATAATTTGATTGGTTGGATTGAGATGTGCTGGAGAATTATTTTGGAAAGAATTTGCCTTATTTAAAAACTGTACAGAGTCTTCTTTTGTGAAAAGTCAACATTTGCTTTAAGTTTAGAAAATTGTTGATTTATGGGATTCAATTGGCTGGATGAATCTTCTGCTTCTAAGGAACACGTCTAGGTTCATGTGCCTCTTATGAGAAGACTCTAAGAATCTGTGTGATTAATTTTTAGATTAGTTTTGACAACATTGTTGCAGAAATTTTTGCAACAAGTTTCTGCAATAAGTTGAGTATATCGTTTTGCATTGAAAACTTTTTGACAGTTGTTTTGATTGTTTATTTATCTAAAGTGTCTTGGTCATTTTCTGTATGCCTTTTGTATTAGATTTTTTGAGTGTGAGAGATTAGAGTGTGCAATTGTAATTTCATTAATACTTCAGAGAAGGATTTTTAGTTTTTCGAGAGAGAAATTTTGTTGAAGGGATTTCAATATTATAAGTCGAGAAGATCTCATTGATCAAATCTCTTAAGAAATTACAGTTCATAGGCGTCTTGTCTTGAGAGGGAGTCTAAGTTCAATTGAGTTGTAAGTTTGAGTTTGTAGTGGACTGATCATCATCTGGGTGTGGCCCTGCAGAGTAAATGGTTACCGAACCGCGATACCAATCTCTTGTGCCTATTTTCTATTTCAAGTTCAATGTTTATTTGTGGAATCAATTTTTAACAACAAACTTAGTAAATAGACCAAACCGGTATCAACATAAAATAAAAATAAGAAAAAAATCACCAAAATGAAGGTGTCACAGGCTCTAAAATCTCTTCCCTCCCTGATCTTCTTCCTCCTCCTCTTTGTAACTCCAATATGTTGGGAATGGACAATATGCTCTCTTGAATGGTGTTGGAAAAATAAAAATTCTAAAACTAAAAATAAAAATCCAAAGACTAAAATTCTACAATTCTAATAATAAAATTCTCTCTCTGTTTTTTTTTTTTTTTTTTTTTCATCTCTTTTCTCTTCCGTCTTACTTATCCTCCCTACTAGTTGAAGAATGAGGTAGAAAAACCCTCAAGCTCCTTCAAAACCCTCCAAATAGAGAGAAAAGGGGAGGCCATATATAGGACGACTACAAAGCGGCTAACATGTGGCAGGTATTGATGGGCGGGCAGCCGCAGGGACGGTGGTCGGCAGTGGCTTGGTTAAAGGAGCCCCTTTCACCTTTTTCAATTACACAAATAGAAAAAATAATTATTTTAAAAGGGAAACTAACTAACAACAAAATAAAATCAATACCAAACTAAGAAAAAACAAAGTAAAATTACACTAAAATAAAATAGATTAAAATGAAATCAAACTAAAATAAACCAAATTAAAATACACAAAATTAAACTAAAAGAAGTTAAAATCTCAAGAGCATAGCTCAATTAAATGCATAAGAAAAAAAGTAAAATAACACTATTCATAGAGTTATGTATTTTTACAACTGTATTGACAATCCTATACACACACATATGTACACGTGTGTGTGTATATATATGTGTATATATATACGTACGTACTTTAGTCCTCTTAAGGGGTTATACTTTTCATTAATATATAAATAAGAAGCATAACATATTCATTTACTATATGAAGCAACGACATCTGAGAAGTGTAAAAAAAAAAAAAAAGAAAAAAATGTTACGTCTTTTTAATGTCATGTTACTTAAATAAGAATCATGTTATTTTACACATATATGTTACATTGGAAGTGGTACTTCTAAATGTCGTGTTACTTTAAAGAACCCTAAAAACACACACACACACACATATATATATATATATATACACACACATACACACACACACACACACACACATATGAATATAATAATAAAACAAACAAGTTATAGGATCAGTTGTTTTACCGTGGATTGGATAAGATTCAATAAATTTTTAGATATCCTTGAACTACTCCCAACAAACTATAGAGTTAGGGTCCCATCTTGCAAATTGGTAATTACTCGACCCCTTTCTCTCAGCCTATAAATAGGCAAAAAATGGAGATCGGTTTTCCTACCAGTGTCTAACACTTCCACTTATAGTCATAGTGCTAGAGTCTTTTGCTAAGTAAAAATACAATGGCTTCTAAGGTTTTCTTTCTGCTGGGTCTTTTATTTGCCATTGTTCTTGTTATCTCATCCGAGGTGGCAGCTAAAGACGTTGCCGAGACTTCCACTGACGAAAATGCAGGTTAGGATTTTGTCTCTTTAAATATTAAAAATCTGTAAAAAAAATAGTAAGATTTTTATTTTAATGTGCTAATTAACATATGTAGCCAATTTGTTTACCAGAGTTTCGTACGTGTTATTATAATAAGTTTCCATCACATTTGCTTTGCAGTGGATGCCGCTGATGAAAAGGCCAATGGGGTGGGCGATGCAAAACACGGTGGATATGGAGGATACCCTGGCGGAGGCAACTACGGCGGTGGCCGTGGTGGTGGCGGTGGCCATGGTGGTTACGGTGGTGGTGGCGGTTATGGCGGTGGTTCCCGTCGTCGTGGCTGCTACCATGGTTGCTGCAGGCGCAATTATTATGGAAAAGGCTGCTCAAGGTGCTGCAGTTATGCTGGCGAAGCTGTTGATCATGAAGTAGCCGCAGCCAAACCCAACAATTAAGGCAGCTCATATGCAACCTATCTAGAGTTTAAATATATACATATACGTATATATTTCTATGTATAATAAGCATGAATGTAAGAATGTATGGTTCTTTATTCGTGCATGGTTTTGTATACCACTAGTGGTATACTCTAGCAGCTTGTTGCATGTAAGAATGTATGGTTCTTTATTCGTGCACGGTTTTGTATACCACTAGTGGTATACTCTAGAGCTTGTTGCACTTCTCAATAAGTACTCGTACTATAGTCAATGAAATGCTTGTTGACTTTTATTCCCAGTATGCAGTTATAATAGGAAAAAAGAGAAAAAAAATGTTTAGTTGATAGATTCAGAATTATTCTTAATTTATGTATGTTTTATGTGAAAGAAAATGTTGTAGTGAGTCACAAATCATGATTCGAATCATGACACGAATTTACTAATCAAACGCAAAATAAATCTCAGTAGAAAAAATTAAGAAAAAACAAAAAACAAGAATATATAGGGAGTTAATACCATGTTGACTCTACTAAAAACTCTAAAAAAGTTTAAAAATAAAATGAAAAAAGTATTGAAATCGTTGGGGCACATATTAAAAACTACTACAAAATTTAATATTTTTAATTATTTTTTCCCCCCACTAGGCCCTAATTGGCTTTGCACGAGTGTCGCATTAAATTATCTATAAAATGGACATAATACTTGTGCCTGCATGAAGAAGCTACAGGTCATGAATTAAGCCTCATAAATATATTATCTGAAGAGGCGCAAAAGTTGGATCATGGATCGAATTCTTGTTAAAGGGCAGACGCTTGTTCTTCGCATAATAACAAGATTAACAAAAATCATTATTATATATATATATATATATATATTTTTTTTTTTTTTCACAATTTGAGATTAAATCCTATAACGGATGACGGCCATTTCAAACTTATCTTGACTTGATCAGAATTAGTAGCAATATATTATAGGCACTGATTAATTATTTTTGCGATGGAAACATTAAACAACACTTGACGATGGCATCGACGGTGGAAGTTGAGGTTTGTAAAAACCATGATCAACACACAGAGATGTTGCTAAAATTACAAAAAACAAAAAAAAAAAAAATTCAAAAGATAAAAATCAGCTACAAAATCTGGTACTTCAATTTAATTTCATACTTCTTGTTGTAGTTTGACAAAGTTCTAATTCTTTAGTTGGATTTTGAGATGATATTAAAGTTCTAATTTTTTATATCATCATGCTTTTAAGAGCTCATATATATAGGGTCCGTTTAGTTCGTTGATTCGAGTTGAAGTGTGACTTTATGTGAGAGCTTTTTACTATAGTAAAAAAGTTAGATGTGACTGTTTTTTAGAGCTTTTTACTGTAACAAAATTTGAATTCTAAACTCGAATTAGTAAAATGAACGGGACCTGTAAGCTACAATTTTCAAGTATATTAATAGGCGTCTATTACAGATTTGGAGGTCTCTTATTTGTTAATTAGTATGAACCCCCCCACCCCTTCTTTTCTTCTGAAGAATTATTGGTCACACTCGGTATATATAAATGTAAAATTTGGTTTTAAAAAAGTTTTGATTTTTTTTTGAATTTTTTTTGAATTTTTTATTTTTCAGATGCCTTACAGCCACTTCATTCTTAAAGATAATAAAGAAATGCACGCTACCTTTAGCGGCCAATCACGGATCATATCTTTTTTTCTTTTTTCTTTTCTTTGTCTAGTATATCAAGTTAGTTTCAAAACGCACGCATTTGAAATATTGTCTACAAATATATATATTTGAAAAGGTTTTCCTTTAAAAACAAGGAAATTCAAGCATAATAAGGGACGTTTATATAATATAAAATTATAGTTTTTGTGTTGGAATTACTTCACTAGAACAAAAGAGAAAAGAAATAATAGAGAAAAGAGAAAAATGATAGAGAGGAATGATGTTTAATGTTAACATTATCATCTTAATTACCCTTGTTCTATATGCCAATAGTCATAAAAAATCCTATTAATCCTTCTTATATACTTGCTAATTCCTCCTCCAAGAGTCATGCTCATATTTGTCTGTTGCCAACTCCACGAAAAAGAAGAACCCTTTGCACATATTGGGCAAGGAAATTGTGTATTAAAGCCTTTGGAGATTTAGTAAGAAAAGGAAATGCTAAACCATATTTGATTTGTATGACTAAAAAACTTAGAGAATGCATGGCTAGCAAACAACCTCTATTGCCAGAACATATAAAACTTGATGATATTCACCACAAATAAAACTGAATTTTATATAGTAAGACTCCATTCTTTATCTCATGCATTTTTCAAATAAATGTAGCCCGTTTAGTTGGAGGATTCGTCCTCTGATTCGAATCACGGTTTATGGTTCGCTACAGTATTTTCTCTCACAAAAAATACACGTAAATTGAAAATGGTTCTAATCTTATGGTTCTAATCCATGAACCAAACGGGCTCGTAATGGTCCATATATAATCACGATCTTTGTCTTTTACATCCCGTCTGGTTTATCCTTGGGAGATTTTTTTGTCTACTTTCACGTTCTTATGTTTTTTCGTTAAATTTTTTTTTTCCTTTTGTTTGGGTTGGGGTTTCGCCTTTATCGATCGACCTTTTTAATTCTCTTATTTCTTTTTTTTTTTTTATCATTTATATTCAGATTGTAGGCTGTGTAGAAATTGCATTAGATGTGCCAATATTTTTGGATGTGTCATCATGAATGCATGAGTCTATCCAATTTATTAAAAAAATGTGAAAATTTATAATTGGGAATGCCTAATCAAAATTAGGTAATTATTTGGACATACTTCTACCTTTTCCATTCTAATGTAGAATTATTTGAAAGTAAACAAGAATACATATATATGTGTGTGTACAATTTTGAATGGATATTTATAAGGCATTGATATATCTAAAAATTATCTCCTTTAAATCCTCTCATATTATTTACCCTACAAGATCATCCGATCTATGACCCTAAGATTTTAAGAATCAAACCATTATTATTTTTATGATAATAAAAGATTTTCATAAACTCAAGATTAATAAAGAGTAACTCGAGAAGTTCTAAGCACTGACAATATGAGTGAAGTTGGATTCTAGGAATGAGCATAGGTTAAAGACAAACATCAACAAGAGATGAAAAACTAGGTTAAGATTTATTATACATATTGTCTGATATTAGAGCATGCACAGAATTCATTTCAAGATTTTTGGCTCAAGTTTTCATTTTAATTGAGAGGTCAAAAAAATTATATGAGTTAGGCCATAAATTCTTTGTGAACAGTAAAATTGAAGGTTAAATATTTTTAAAAATTCAAAATAATTTTACAATTCATTGGACATATTCTGCAATATTTTTCTACAATTTCGAATAATTGAAATCAAATTATGTGCCTATGGTTAAATAATTTATAGAAGAGTATTGTGTTGAAAAATACGAATTTATGAAATTTTTGGAGTACATAGTTGGTCAACTATTCAATTTATTAAAATCGTCGGATCAATGTCTTACAGCTTAAATAAAAATAAATATAATTAATAGGTAAATTTTAGAATAACCATTAAAACTACACCTATATATATATATTTATATATTCTAAACGTCTCCAAAAGTCCAAAATAGCTTCAAAATATTTCTAAGAAAGAAAATCAACTACAAGCCAAACATGTTTTGAATTTGGTGGGTGTGCACCTTACATCTTCTAAGCTTACACAATGTATATCAAATCATAATAAACAACATTTGACCCTAAAGTTAATTACCATTCTTAGTTACCGTTCCAGGTTTATCGGTTCTTTGTTAAATTCAATGTTTATAGGTTGCCTAGTCCTTGGTACATAGTGATAGTTGTTCCAACTTTCTTGAAAAGATTGGTGGTTTTAGAGGTTGTGATGAGTCTCGGGGTAGAAGAATTGCCCGGTTGTAAAAGACGTGATAATGCTGAAAGACGATTGGATAGTGAAAGAGGTAAAATAGTGACGATTGGCAACAATAGATGTAGGCAGTTTTTCAAAACTAAGCTCGTTTGGTAAAGGGATTCGTTCTCTGATTTAAATCATGATTCGTGGTTCACTACAGTATTTTTTCTTACAAAAAATACACGTAAATCGAAAATGATTCTAATCACATGGTTCTAATCCATGAACCAAACAGGCTCGTTACACACTTCTTCCCTCATACTATTTATTTCATCGCATTAGGCAAGTTGTTGTGTGAGTAGTGTCGATCGTGGGTTAAGTTTTGGTGGAGAGTTTCGTAATAAAACTTGTGATTCTATTAGTTTTAGGTATCGTTCATTTCACCGATTCGAATTTTTAGCTTTAGGTTTTAACGGTTAAAAATTTTCAAAAAATGTAACAGCTAACTTTTTCTGTTACAGTTAAGAATTCTCAGAAAATGTCATATTTCAACTCAAATATGTGAAACGAACGAAGCCTTAATATATAAAAATTCAAAGTTCATAAATCCTTATACTTTCGCTGGAGCGTTCAATACCTGTACTTTTCCTCTTTTGGGCTTTGGTCACGTTAAATAACCAAATTATTATTGTTATATCTATTTTTTCTCAACATACAATTGTTGTCAGTATAGGCTACTAATAGTTCTATTTGCTGGTGTGTTTGAGAGGTTAGTTAATTACTAGTATTCCTGTATCTCTGGTCTAAAGAGTAATTAAAGAAATGATAACACATGAATCTATTAATTATAAAAAAAATAAAAATAAAAAATATGAATCTATTAATTAATGTTAAATGTCACAGACAAACTTCATGGTCAAGAAAAAATATTACACGCTACCTTTTGAAATATTTCATAAGTTCTTATACCATTTATTTTTACGTTACATTTTTATTTGTTGTACAAACGTGTATACAATCAGCTCATGATGTACACCTTAAAATGATACATATGCATCGATATTAATAATAACATTCCCGCTAACTTTTCAAATTAATAATATTGTATGTTACACTTTTAAAAAACTTAAATATAAACATTAACCTTGGAAAGATGTATTATTAATATTATTATTATTATTATTATTATTATTATTATTATTTAGAAGAGAAAGATGTCTTTAGTTATGACATCTATACATCGTTAAAAAAATATTGTCAACAAAACTAATTTTGAAAAAGTTTTTCGATCCCATAAATAGAAAAAAAAAAAAGGAAAATGAATCTAAAGCAGGCATGCATGACGGAGATGGTGCTATAAATATGGAATTTGTGTTATCTTATTCCCTTGACGAAAACCAACCCAAAAAAAAAAAAAAAAAGAACAAC